AGCTAAAACTAGAGAGACTTATGACAAAGTATCAGACTTATAGATAACCTTTATCAATGAAAGAATCTAAGAGCCAACAAGTTACAAGCACTATTTCAGTATCTAAGTGTGACTTTCTCCCCAACCTGCCCTTCCATTCTAGTGTGCTCATGCTTAGATTTTTCATGCTCTAATTTCTTTAAAAATCTTGTTTATTCTTGCCGATAGGCTGCCAAATTCAAAGTGATCACACAGATAATATCAACAACAAATGTCCTAGACATTTTTTTTAACCAATATCCACCATCTTAACAAGTGTACCCTTCCTATACTCCCTTGGGAGCCAGAGTTCTGGCAGGAATAGACACAGGGGTTGCAGAAATTTCAACATCAACACACTTCTATTACTCCCCATCTCAGGAGCTACGTGAAGATATGGAAAAGGTGGCAGACTCCTTCGTCACCCTACAATCACAGATCAATTCACTGGCAGCCATGGTACTCCAAATTAGATAAGCTCTGTATACAATAACACCAAAAAGAGGGGGAACATGCCTCCTATTAGGAGAAGAGTGTTGTTACTTTGTAAACCAATGTGGCATTGTTGGAGACAAAGTAGAGGAGCTCAGGGAGTGCATAGAAAAACGAAGTCGAGACCTAGATGGACTACGATCTCTGCCAGGATACTTTGACCAATGGCTTCCATGGCTTCTTCCTTTTCTGGGACCCCTCACCATCCTCTGCATAATCCTGCTTTTCAGACCCTGTCTGTTTTGCTGTTTTCAAACTTTCTTACTGGAACGCATGTGGACCTTCCCGGTTGGTGAACTCATCATGGCTGGCTACCAGCCCCTCGCTACTGATGGTGGCTCCACCTAACGAGACCACACCTCCACTGTCTAAAGCCCCCACCCAACAACGCCAGCAGGAAACAGCTACAGAAAAAGAGACCCTCACCCCTATTCCATAATAACAAGAGTCTAGAATGATAAGAGTTATCTGCCAGCCAAAATGGGCCCAAGGGTCCTACATTCTAAAATGGCTCCCATTCCTAAGATGATTCCCACTTACGGAAATGAGCCACTTGAGGATCGGGGTGGTGTGAAACCTACCCCCTCTGGAAAAGCAAAACCTAACTTGTTGCTCCACCCTGCTACCCACATGATCCTCCCCTTCCAATCACCTGGAGTCCAGTTGCTAATGGATGTATTAAAAGGATGATATTAAAAGGTGAGGATGATATTAAAAGGTAAGGATGGTATTAACAGTGTGAAATCTTTGCAATCCAAAGTTGAAAGCCAACAATGTTTAGAATTGAGAATTTAACCCAATAACCATCTAAAAACAAAATTTAAAATGAGGTAAACAAAAAAACTGAAATGAACAGCTTTTGTTAAATGGATCTGGAAAATAAAGTATACAAGGGGAGATGGCACAGAATCTATTTTTATTATAATATTTTAAAGATTAAGTTTTAAGCCACAGACATTTTATATATGAATGTAAGTTCAATTTAAAAAAAATCATCATCTAATAAACAATACATTCTCATTATTTCTTATAAGATAATGCAATTAAGGGTTTTTGAAATAAAAAAAATTTAGTTTCACAGCAAAAGAGGGGTTAGACTTATACACAAATTTAATAAAAACTAATTTTGGTTTTGAAAAACAAGTTCTCTGCCTAAGAAATGAGAAATTTTTAAAAATTTAAAAAAATTATATAATACAGTATATGACAAAAGCTGCGGCATGTCAATTCATGACCTTACAGTTCTGTTTTAGATCTTGCCAAAAAAGAAAAATTTTATCTAAAATATCAAAAGCAACCATCAGTCAGAGCTAAAGCCCAGAGCTGCCAAACTGGTCAGCCTAACACTAACCCACCCTGTTCTGTTTTTGTAATACCTACCAGCAACCAGCTAAAAATAGTTTTTATATTTCATGGAAAGAAACACAAGACTATCTCATTTCATATGAAAAATCACATAAAATTGTAATCCATAAATAAAGTTTCATTGAAACACAGCCTTGTTCATTGTCCCCTCCCTTTCTGGTACTGAAGATTTCGCCCAGGGCCTTTGAACTGAGCTCCATCCCTAACCCTTTTTTTTTAAAGACAGAGTCTTACTATGTTGCCCAAGTTGAGCTTGAACTTTCCATCCTCCTTCCTAGCCTCCCAGAGTGCTGAGATTACAGGCATGTGGCTGCTTTCTTTCTGGTAATGGCTGAGTTGAACAATCTGACAACAGATAAAAACCTAAGATATTTACTGCCTACCCTGTAAAACCAAAGACATCTGTTATCTGGGCTCCTTTCAGAAAATATTTACTGACCACTGGACTAAACCATTACAATTCTGAATTTCATTTGAATTTTATTTCAAATGATTAATCCAAACTCATATTTTAAAATGTGAGTATAAAAGGGCATAAATCAAACACTGCTGGAATAAGCAGCCTTAGGGAAGTGGTCTACACAACCCTCAAAAGAGAAAAATCTCCAGAGACATTTAATGGTTTTCTGAGGGTCACTGGGGTGACCAGAATCAATGCTAGAGTCTCCCAACATATTCATTCCATTATTCAAACATCTGGCACCGAATTTCTAACCCTAGTATACTTTTGTTCCTATACTAACCTTCAAATTGCTATTATTAAATCAGTTATTTCATTTTAGTTAACATTTTTTAAAACATGTTCTTTTAGCTTGACTTTCCCAAATATTTAAAGCAGAGTTCTGTAGATATTTACTTACAATAGTGTCAATGTGGCAGTACAGAATACTGGCCAAGACAGGATCTCTGGTGTCAGGGTGACTCTGGCTCTAACTCTGTCCCCAGCATCACTTTGGCCTTGCAATCCTCTGAACATCTCTAACTCTTATAGTGAGCATATTACCTACTTCCAGTGAATGTAGTTACACTGAATAAGACGAAGGATATCGAGTACTGACTGTCACAGAATGAAGAGCCCAGGAAATATCCATACTTTCTCTTATGTTTAAATATTTCATAACCATTCAATATCCCTGAAAAGATTCAGAAGTAGCTTTCTCAAACTACACCGTGCATTAAGAATCAAATTAGCCATTGGAATAGGAAAAAACTTTATGAGCAAAACCTCAGCACCAAAGGAACTAGCACAGAGAATCAACAACTGGGATCTCATCCTATTAAAAAGCTTCTGCACAGCAAGAGAAACCACCCACAGAGTGAAGAGACAACCCATAATGTGGGAAAAAATTTTTACCAGCTGTTTCTCAGACAAAGGACTAATATCTAGAATACATAAAATACTTATAAAAATCAGACCCCCCAAATTTAAAGACCCAATTCAAAAACGGGTCTGAAATGAACAGACATTTCTCAGACAAAGAAGTAAAGGCAGCAAATAAACATATGAAAAAATGTTCAACATCACTGGTCATTTGAGAGATGAAGATGAAACCAACGCTGAGATTCCACCTCAGCACAGAAAGAATGGCTGCTATCAAGAAATCAACCAATAATAAATGCTGGCAGGGCTGTGGGGAGAAAGAAACCCTTCTCCATTGTTGGTGGGAGTGCAGACTGGTGCAATCACAGTGGAAATCAATATGGAGATACCTCAAAAAACTAGAATTAGAGGTCCCATTTGACCCAGCTATTCCCCTGTTGGGTATCTCCCAAAAGAATTTAAAGAATCATACCACAGTGATATATCTGCACCCATGTTCATAGCGGCACAGTTCGTAATATCTAAATCTTGGAAATAGCCCAACTGGTCATCAACTGGAGACTGGATTAAGAAAATATGGTTTTTTAATAAAATGGAGTACTACTGAGCCATAATGAGAAACTAGTTATTTATACTAAGTGGATGCACACTGACGTCATACTCTTAAGTGAAATAAATAGAACACATATGTGTAAATACCAAATAGTTTCTCTGGTGTGAGAAACTGAAAGTTTAAACAAGGATCAAAATATATAATAGATAATGTGAAACAGGAAGAAAAGGTTTAAAAAGGAAGGGGAAGTGGGAAGGGTAGGGGAAAAAGAAAGAAGGGAAAAGAAAAAATATGAGAAAATGAAAAAGGGAAAACAAAGTCTCTGTAAATAGGGAGGGGTGGAGGGGTTGATAGGAGGGCAGGGGAATGGGGAAAAAATAAGAACCAAGATAGATCATGTAAAGGTTCAAATTCCCAGTGATGAATGCCATCATATTGTATACCTAAAATGTACCCATAAACTTAATGAAAAATAAATAAATAAATTCCATTAGGCTCCCAAAGCAAGTAGTAGTCAAAAAAAAAAAGAATCAAATTAGCAACTTGTCAGTACAGCCTCCCTTGGTCCTACTCTCAGATACTTTGATTCTTTAATCTGGAGGGGGCAGGAATCTGTACTTTTAAGTTCATGTACAATTTGCATATAGACACTGGTCCTAGATACTGAAACATACCAAGGGGTTAAGAGACAAGCCAAAAGCCTAAGTAATCACAGTTGTGATGTGATTACTTACTGTACCAGCACAGTAAGGTGGTGAGTACTACTCATTCCTTTCATTGCTCTTCCATTTACTACTGTCTTTTTTTCTTTTCTACTTAAACTTCTATTAGGCTCCATAAGTTAACTAATATAACATATAATACGATGATTATTTCCGAATTTATGAAGGTCAGGACTTCTAGTTATATGCCCAACAAAACACTGAAGGAGTTCAATAAAGCCAATACTCAGATTACTAACTTTAAAATATTGAATATTGAGCCGTTTTATTTAATGAAATATTTGCAAAAAAAAAAATAGATGTGTTCCTATGTTACAGTACAAGCTAAAACTCTGCATAAAAACAAGCACAAAACTAAACAGCTTACACTGAGAGACTGTGATGTGTGGTACATGTGAAAGGAACTGCATGAGACACCTGCATCTCAGGTAAGGTTTTCTCACCCAAAGTGTCTATTCCAAAACCAGCAACAAAAGCAGAGCTGAGAGTGGCAAGAGGAGGAGAATGCAGATGCGCACGGTCACGATACCTTGCTCCAGTCTAAAGCACAGGGAGCGCCTGGCTGCTTCCATCTCAGGAGTCGGGTTATCTAGGACGTGTCTACACCACTGCAAAGGACTCAGGGATTTCTCTGATGAGGTGAATGTCTTTGAAGAGCCAACGTATAACCTTAAAAAAAGAAATCTACATTATAGGTATGATATAAGTATACAGAGAGAGCCACTCTTCCAGGAAAAACAACATGTATTTAACAGTTTCTATAGAAACAGAACTCAAGTTTGAATACTTCAAAGTACCACAAGTCATTTTTAACAGCCAAATATCCCCAAATAGAATATAATACTTCTCTCTAAGCTTAGTGAGAACTACTTTAAAAAATCTAAAAATTTCCCCCTTAACTGTGTTTCAGAGTCAGAATGGGCATCATGAAGACCTCATGGCTTTCCTTTACATGTCTAGAAATGGAACATCTTTATCTTTGCCGCGACAGAATCTTTTGTGAACTTGGGCTAATAAATGGGCACAACACATAGGCAACAAGGCAAACAGGTCTTTTTTTTTTTCTTTTGGTACCGGGGGTTCAAACTCAGGACCTTGCGCTTATTAGGCAGGCGGCGGCACCACTGAGCTAGATCCCCAGCCCGAGGTGTCTTTTTTAAAAATAAGCCAAAACACAAGTCATTAATTCTCTGAACCCTTAAGTAACATTTTTATCATCACTTCCACCGTCTATACCAATTGTAATGGGAAACATTTTAAAAAACCACCCAGAGGAACTATAAATTACAAGCAGGTTCTCTCTCACCGATGTACTGTACTATGCAAAGGTAATCTTAAAAATATCTTCAGTGATAGGGTTAAATAAAAAAGTGCGAGGTACAGCCAGCAGTTAGCCAAAAAGAGGAGGAAAAATCACGTCCTCACAATTCCTCTCTCTAGTATTCAACCTTGCCATACTTAAGCTTATTCTAATCACAAATCTCATTAAATGCTCCTTCAAAATCACTGTAATTAGAATGAGCGCATATTCTTGAAATAACACACTTCATTATTTACACTTTTACTATTCTAGACAGGATATCTACCTTTAGAGTAATTTACTAATTACTCAAGATAGCTGGGAATCTATTATTTTTGGGGAACTTTTTCTTAACGATTAGGGGTGGGCAAACTTATCTGTCACAACTATCCTTCAGTTCCAAAGCACCATAGCAATCTGTAAATTTATAAATAAGTATAGCTGTTCTCCTATACACTTTACTTATAGACAGTGAAGGTTAAATCCCCCCTCATTTTCGTATTAAATTATTTCACCATATCAAATTGCAAAAACCGATCTTCCTCGCCATACAAAGCATGCAACAGACATGATTTTGTCTTGAGGACAGTTTGTTGACTCTGTGGAAGATTCTAAAATATATCTCTATTAATGAATTTAATATTAACTGCAAGATATCATTCTTTCCTTAGTCCTATCTCCATCAGAAGTATATTAACTATAAATGCATATTCCTGGGCCCTACCTCAGCCCTGCTATGACACAGGTGGTCATAACCCTTGCACCTTTCCTTACTAACACACTCCTGATCTGTCTTTAATGGGTACCTCTTCTTAGTCCATGTTAGGGTTGGTCTAGGCTAGTTGTTCTCAAGCCTTGATACTTCAAACACAAATTGCTAGACCAGGCCCTACTCCCAGGTTTTTGTTTTAGTAGGTTTGTAATAGGGTCAGAGAATAGAAATTTCTAACAAGTTCTCAGATGATGTTGATATTACTGGTTCTGTAGGCCACATCTTGAGATGCCTCGGGCTATGTCAATCAGAGTAATTCCATTTTGTCCTGCTGCCCACTTACTGGTTCAGGGCCCTGGATACAACCTCAGGCAATAAAAACTGAGAGGAAAACATCTGATGGGCTTGTGGGCAAATTTTTCTTCATGTTTAAAGGTGTCACAAAAGGTCCAATTATATGCTGCTTATAAAAAAATGCACTGCAAATATAGTTGCTTATGTAGGTTAAAAGTTAAAAGACTGTAAAATAAAAACAAAAAACCTATCTACAAAGAAAAGCCCAAAGGTTCACTGTTGAATTTTACCATTTAAAATATCAATACTTCATAAACTCTTCCAAAAAAGGGGTGGGGGGGATACATACTTACACATTCTGAGGCCAGTGTTACCCTGATACTATAATCAGATGCAGGTCAAGTATTACAAGGAGAAAAAATAGAAAGAAAAAAAAATACTGGAGACCAATATCACTCATGAACAGATACAAAAAGTCCAGATATTTTAGCAAGTTGAACCCAACAATGTTAAGAAAGATACTTCTTCATCACCAAGTGGGTTTTATCCCAGATGTAAAAGTTGGTTTAATGTTCAAACAGCAATGTAACTTACCTTATTAACTAAAGTGGAAAAGTCATATGATAATCTCAATAGGCAAAGAAAAAAGGCATCTGACATCAATTTCTAATAAAAATTCCCAGTAAGTTGGAAACAGAAAGAAAAATTCTCAATCTAATTAAAGATGTGATTAAAGATACCCTAAAAACAGCATACTGAATAGTGAAAGACTGAATACTTTTCCAGTAGTAGGAAAAAATATAGGTACTGGCTCTAATCACTTCTATTCAACACTCTACAGAGGTTTGAGCCAGTGTACTCAAGAAGTAAACCTATTTTGATATACAGATGACATGAGCATCTATGTAAAAAAATCTGAAAACTCTGTAAAAAAAGATATTAAAACTAATTACTTTAGTAGCAATATTGTACAATACCAGATTATCATAGGGAAATTAAGTTATATATTTGTATATATTTGCAATAATTGATATTTTTACAGTTTTACTTTCTGTTTACCATAGCTTAAAAATCCCTTAAAATACCTAAAGATAAATCTGACAAAAGACGTATAAGACTTGTTAATGAACACTACAAAGCATTCTGAGGTAAATCAAAGACAAAAATAAATGGAGAGATGTAACATAAGGTTTATGGGTCAGAGACTAAATGCTGTTAATGTGTCCGTTCTTCTTAAACTGATCTATATAATTAACAAACTCTCAATCAACATCCCAGCAGGCTTTTGAAATACATCTTATATAAAAAGCTGATTCTAGAATGTATATGGAAATGCAAAGATCCTGGCATAATCAAGCTACTGTTTAGAAACAAAATTGGAGAGTTATCACTGACTGATTACTAATGAAGACAGTTTAATATGGCATAAACATAAAGAGATTAATGGAAAAAAATAGATGGGTTAGAAATAGAATCACATGTAGAATACTGCTTTTTAACACAGTACAAAGAGCATTCAATGAAGAAAGGATAGTCTTTTAAAGAAATGGTGCTGGAATAAAATGGATGTTCATATATAAAAAAGTGAACTTCAAGCCTCACTTCACACAATACCCAAAATTAACCCAAAATGCTCAGAGACAAACATGTAAAACCTCAAGCTGCAAAACTTCTGTTAGAAACCACAGGTGAAAATCGCTGCGCCACTGTGTTGGCAAATACTTCTTCGCTGTAATTTATAAGACTAAAAACATGATCCATAAAAGAAAAAAAAATATCAGTTGGACTTTATCAAAACTAAAAACTTGGCTCTTTGAAATACACTGCTAAGAAAAAGACAAACCGTGAACTGGGAAAAAAATATTTGCAAATAATGTATCTGACAAATTTTTATTTAGAATTATAAAGAAACTCAGCAAACTCAGTAACAAGCAACCTAATTTAAAATTGGGCAAAAAAATTTAATAGAAATCTCACCAAAGAAGAGCTAATGATGACAAACAGATATGAAAACATGATCATTAAGGAAATGCAAACTAAAACTATAATGAGAATATAATGTCACACACTTATTAGAATGGTTAAAATTAAAAAGATTGGCTAGCCAAGTGCTGATGAGCATGTGACACAACTGAAATTTCCTAGTGGAAATTTAAAACGGTATAGCCACTTTGGAAAGGAGTTTGGCAGCATCTTAAAAGGCTAACATACATCTGTTCAAGTCTGTTAGTATATATCCAAGAGAAATGAGACCATGAACACATTAAGGACCTAGACAAAAATGTTCATGGCAGTTTTATTTATAATAACCAAAAGTTGAAAAAAACCCAAATGTCCATCAAAAGATGAATGTCTAAACAAACCACAGTTTTATCCTGGCAATCTAATAGCTGTCATGGTTAAAGGAAATAAACTACTGATTCATGTAATTAACAACACAGATGAACTTCAAAAGCCAGACCAAAATAAACAAATGAAAAAGAGTGCATGCTGTATAATTTCACTGATACATAACTATGGAAAATGCAAGCTAATCCACACTGACAAAAAATAGATCAGTGTTTGCCTGGGTTGGAGGTAGGTATGACTGGGAAGGAAGAAACACAAAGGGGCCACAAGGAAACTTCACAGTTTATTTTCTTGATCATGTGATGGTTTTATGGATATATTCATATCAAAGTGTATCAAATTTGACATTTCAAATATACACAGTTTATATATCTCTATACTTCAATAACATTTTTTAAAAGGTCACAGGGGACAGTGCTTCTCATCCCTCAGGGTTTTTAAGGTGAGACTCAGAGCTGCCATCTGCTATGCATGTTAAGAGAAGTACAGCGCCATACTACTGATGGAGAGAAGTAGGTGGTCTCTAGTCAACTGTGGGGCTTCCTCACCTCTAGACTTAAGTTAGCCAATTTCTCTCATTGTTTATTACACACAAATTCACATTTCTGAGCCTTTCCTTGTTGTTCACAAACCCCCTGAGCTGGCACCTGAAGCTACAGTCTGACGCACTGTTCTGCCTGTGACTCCCAGAATCCTACAGGACAACTGTGATATCTGCTGCTGCTGGGAAGCTTCACCAATCAGATTATCTCTGGATTTCAGATACTCTCACCAAATGTTTTTGACAGCCTTTTTTGATTCTTCTTTGTGAAGGAACTCTACATGAAGATAATCCTTTACGGCCTGTGTAACAGTTCTCTGATTTGATCACAGGCCTCAGAGCACACTCAGGAGGAGTGCCTTCTCCAGACAGGTACTCTCAGTTGCTAAGTGACCCTCTGTGCCATATTCATTTAGGGCTACTTTTCTCTATCATCTGTCCCTGCTCCCTGGTGTTATAGCTCACCCCTATCC